ATATCCCTATATGCTACAATCGTAATTCTGGTACAACCTCGGTAACAAGATGTTTTCTCTTGGCCGACCGTCGGTCTGGGATACTATATAACTTCTGTGTCTCAAGCCTCGTTCAATTTTACTATTACAGAAGCCATAAACTACGCAGTGTCTGCCCTTACGAGGTCTGAACGAGGTACCTTCGTGCCAGAATAACAAAATGATTAGCTATGGTATTTGTGACAAGTGTTCCTTACTCAAGTTTTTGCGTCAATGCTTGTTGCCAAGTAGAAACGATTACACGGTATACTACGACGATCATTTATCATTGCATACTGTGTGGTATTATACAGACGCTAGTGTAAACAAGTACGCAGAAAGCCATGCCGATTTTGGTACGATTGCTAGCGATATGTTTTGAGAGATGTTTTGACCACTTTAGCTCTCTGTCGTGGTATAATGTATGCCCTATGATATTACGAAATACTGATATATTTGTTAACTAGAGATACAGATGTGATGCGGGACCATCAGCTGAGTGTGGCTTGAGCGCGCTTAGCTTGCGTCCGAGGCTCCGGGTTTTTGAAGCTCTCTTTTTTGTCGCGTATACTCGTACTCTCATAAGATAAGAAGAACTCCACCAAATTGCAGCCTCAGAATCTTTTTAGGATATACTGTTACGTTAATTTAGATATGATAAGCACAAGTTTTTCGAATCAGTCGGTTACACATTTGTCCATGTGAACGCCCGCACCAAAGAGTGCTTTTTTGTTTTAATCGACATAAATTGAGAACTTGTGTAAAAAAAACCTTAACCGATTTTTTCATGCAACATTTTATTTAAAGTGCCATATCGCCATTTCGCGTTGTTTATGGTCACCTTTTAGATTAAAGATTTGACATAAAACGGCTTACTACTAATTATGCTTCATTTATTCAGAGATTACTTATTTATTTTAATTTGTGACGATCAATTTGGCTAAAGAACCTATTAACTAGAGATCTATTAAGTATTAGTCTTCTCTTGGCTACCGGCTCTGTGTTATGTATTACCAGCTAATGTTAAAATAGGCACTTTCTGCGCTCGCATCCTGATCGAAGACGCATATCTGCACACAAATACAAACGGAACACCCGAAGTAGCAAACCTTAAGCACAACTCTCAAGGTTAGTCCTGACCTGACAAAGCTTAGAGAGTAACCCCTCTTCCTCGCCTGCCCTGAACCCAGCTGCACGCAGCAGAGCGACTCTGCCTGCAACAGCGTAGACGCTGACATTACTACAATAGCAGCAGCGGCAGCATCGCAGAAGCTCCCGGTTGAGCTTGCAATGGAACGCCTGCGGCAACCGCTCAGTCAGCCAAGCAAAACAGCGAGGTTCAAGCAGTGAAGATGTTGAGGTTACAACTTACTCTGATTGTGGCGGCGCTCGAATTGCGACCACGGCAACAAGAGCAGCAGCAGTAGAAATCAGTAAAAGGCAAAAAGTACATAATCGGCGAATGGTGCCTCGCTAGGGCCTCAATATTTGCACGGTCACCAAACGTGGCAACCAGCAAGAGCGAAAGCTACTCAAATGCTGCTACAGAGATAGCCGTCGCTAATCGCTGCCTGCTACTTGATTTCTGCAATAAACGCAACCGATGCGGACAACTATTGCGGCGCTTGTGAAACCTGTTTGATTTCAACTAATCAAGCGCATCACGATGGAAATATGGGGTCTTCCGTTACCGCCGCGACAACAACCAATGGTTTTGCTCTGGTCAGAATAGCTGAAAACAGCGACAAGCGTAAAGGCAAACACAATTTCCATTACAGGCCGACTCCTAAAGCCTCGAGCCATACTTTACCATTGCTCGACTGGAGCCTCCTTAGCTACCGGGGGCATCTAGGACGTTAATTAGTTACGACTTGTTTGTTAGTTCGCCCATTATTGGTGGTCGCAGATTTCTTTAGCTTTTATTAGCAGAGAACACGGCGGTGATACGCTGAGTTACCAAATCGACACTCTACTAACTAACGCGTATGCGCCGAAACAATTACATATCAGCGAACAAATGCCGAAGGACAGCGGATACCGGACAGCACGGCGACAAACGCAGACGGCTCTTTGGGTATTTACTGTCTTGATGGCTGCCGCAAAGACGAAAACTCTGATCGCATACGCGCCAGTAGTCGTCATAGTTGTAGTTAAAATAGCAAATCAAACCCACGCAATTCAACTGTATGTACAGCCGTTAGCATAAGCATTTACGTCCAACAAAATGGATCATAAACAGATAGATACATCCCAAGCCAAACAGACATAAACATATGATATCCAATTCGCGTAATTCTGTTTCGAACGCACGGGACTCGTATCACTTATAGTTCATAGCGGATTCTCTGATGACGCTCTGTCGTTGCTTAACTAACTCGTCAATCCTAATTTTCCACGGGGTAAGTTATCGCAGATCAGAGCGGGATGGGAGAAGCAAACAAGGTCCTGATCCCACTCGTCCAACATCATTGTTACCACATAGAGATGGCCCCTACATGTAAGCTATACGACCTACTAGAATAGAAAGCAGTATGAGTGGCTATACTACATGCAGTAATGTCTAACTTGACACTCGTAACTAGTGGCCGAAAACGCACGTCAGCTTATACGGATTCCGACTGGACCCTTATTTTAGTTTGTAGCGTTACAATATAGAGGGATCAGATTGGCCAGGCACGTCATCAAGTTAGTTAACAATCCAGCATTCCTAAATCAAGGTCATGGTTAATTAAATTGCCTAAATGTTTGAATTTTACCAGCTGTCGTTGAAGAATAGGGACCATTCCCACGGCTAGCCATGGCTCGAATTCAAAATCGTAGCAGGCTAGACGTCTCTCAAGCAAAAACCTTCCATGCGGCTTCAAACTCAAGCGGTTTCCGGTTTTCTTCGCATATATTCTAACGGCAGACATATTCTTCTATCAATTATCTATGAGTCGCACGAATAACTTATGCACTTATTTACGTATGTAAAACATTTGTCCTTAACAAAAGGCAAATTTCGAGCTAAAATTCTGTATTTTTTTTGCCGCAGTCGCGTTTTGGGGCTTTAATCGGCCATCTCCAGTCGTCTTGATACTCGGATACCGTCTACTAATTTTAAACCTGGGTCGATATCTCTTTTACTACTATTCCCACCCTATAATATTTGATTGATGCATTTGCTTTAAACATTTGGGAGTTGAACCAATTAGATTTGCTATCATACAACACAATTAAATATTTGTCCAAGCTGAGCAAGGTAAGAAGAAAGCTAAGCTATAAAAAGCAAAATATCCCCATATCAACATGGCCGTTCCGTTCCAACTCTGCCATCACGTCAATTAAAATAGATGAAGCACTTTGATGATTTTACCGATTATTAATGAATATTATCGCTTAGAAATATAGAAAATGATGTATAGCACAATGGTCACTAGAATTCCACTACGGTCAAGCAGACCTTGCTCCATAATTGACAGAGTTTACCAGATGCGATCGTACACTCAAAATTGAAACAAATATCTCGTATGAAATGATATCCACATCCGGTCAACTCGCTTACAATAAGTACCATCAAGCTACATGATTTATCGAAGCGCTACTCGGACGTATCGAGCCCATTTAACAGAACGGCCGCAATCCTTATACAACTACAGTCTGCGCGACGCAGTGGCAGGATTTGCCAATGTTCTCAGGCCCGTTTCATTGAGTTGGGCATTTCAAAGAAGGCACAAACTACCTACGGTCGGAATCCAGTCTCCATTCAGCAGCATGAGACTATTATCATGGCTAACAATTAGCTAACAAAATATTGCAACTGGGACCTTCTCAAAAAAAGACGTCTTTCGGTTGAGGCAAGCCTGGCCGTCAAGTGATTACTGGCCGACCACGACAAGCTAAACTGGCCTGCCTTCTCTACTAAAGGGTATCACGAGAACACGATTTTGCAGGTTGCGTTTTTTAACAATATACGTATAAAAAAAGAACGACTTTATCGTTAACTTCTACATGCATAGAACTCTAATATTCAGTAAAATAAAAGTGGAAACAAGGATAACCGAAAAACTAACGGCACTTCGCAAAAAACAAGGCGGAACCGCTTCTCAAGTTCGACTGAACGGATGGCCACACCGCTCCTGCAAAAATCCCGTAGACAAAGTTTAGATTCAATTTTCTTCGATTTTCAGCCACTGATTTGGTTCAAAGTTGCGCCTTTTTCTGCGAAGTTACAATGCTTCAAATGCGTCCCGGAAAACCCTTAAAATGAAGCATATTTTTTAGTTATTTGAAGTAAGCAATGGGGTCAAGCCAAGCTGTTTGTGGCCCGGGTTGATTCCACCCAGTTGAAATTTCGACTATGTGTATCTTTATTGGCTGCAAAATTTTTTGCAAGCGTGGATTTTGGATGGCCGAGAAAACAGTGAACAAAATAATAGCACAACCATTGAAGTCGATGCAGTAGTTTAGTTAAAATTTGCATACAAAGTTTCATATACTGAATGGGCCACCTCCCGACAAGATGGCTGCCACCACGGCAGTGTGCTTCCCGCCTTGAGTTTTTTCGAATTATAGCCCGCTGAAAAAGAGATTTCACGTCCGATTTGTACCCATTTGTAATCTGTGATCCTTTCCGAATGTATCTGCATACGTTTCACACAAGTTTCTTGCACCAGGACGAAGTTTACAGCAGTTTTGTAAGATACAGTCGATTTTCGAATGCGACGTCATTCGTCAAATTTCTAGAATTTCAACAGAGCTATTGGGTCGATAATTTTGAGATTTAACTCAACTGTAGTTGAATTTCTCGTCTACAGAATGCGACCTTCGTGACAAAAATCCACAAACTCGTTCCCAGATAAAATTGGCCGCTAGCCTGTTAAGAAACACAAATACGAAACATAAACGGCCGCTTTAGCGGCGCGCAGCTGTTCGGGGAGAGCGCCAGCACGCCCGGGTGCCTTCGTTTTCTTTATAAGAGGCACTTTGCGTTGTGGCGGGCAGTTGGTTCCCAGTAGTTGAGCAGAGAGGACGCGAGAGCGAAAAACCTGGCGTAGTTGTTCTCGGTCGTTCGACCTACACAAAAAATGACCATGGATGCTGTTGTGCCTGCTGCCGCTCCGGCTACTCCGAAGAAAGTCAAGGCCGTTAAGCCTAAGGCTCCGAAGAAGGTTTCAACCCATCCTTCGTATCAGGACATGATCAAGAAAGCCGTCGAAACTCTTAAGGACCGCGGAGGATCGTCCCGCCAAGCTATTCAAAAGTACATCCAGGCCACATTTAAGACTTGCGATGATAAGGTGTCGCAGGCACACCTCAAGATTGCTCTGAAGCGTGGTGTCGAAACCGGACTACTGAAGCGTGTTAAGGGAACCGGTGCGTCTGGATCGTTCCGACTGGCACAGAAAGTCACAAAGCCTGTCCAGCCTAAGGTTGTCAAAAAGCCGAAGGTCGCGAAGAAGCCGCAGGCAGCAAAGCCCGCTGGTGAGAAAAAGACTGTCAAGCCAAAGACTGTTAAGGCAAAGGCCCCAAGCAAACTAAAGCCTAAAAAGGCTGTGGCGGAGAAAAAGGCTTCGAAGCCGAAAATGGCCAAGAAGCCGAAAACACCTAAAAAAGCTTTGAAGCCTGCAGCGAAAAAAGCCGTTACTCCTAAAGTAAAGAAGTCCGTCGCAAAGAAGGCCCCTGCCAAGAAGTAGGTGAACTCACTGCCTCTCGGCTTGGCCTGCCTACCAGACAGCCTTCTTAAGCGAGCCTCTAGGAAGCGGTCAATGGCCTAGAACGTATTAAATAAGCAGACAACCACTTTCATTATCACCACTACGAATCATTTTGCATTCATGGTGCTGTTAACGGTGATACCAGCTTGGACCAGTAATGGGCGTTTGTGTAGAGAACCCAACTGGTCTAACGGTTATTTCATCGACGGAAATTCATCTGTTCATCCCCTCGTGTAGACGTCACCGAAAATTGCCGATAATCAACAATCCATGCTACGTTAACACATAGTAACCATTGTAAAATGCATCAATGTTGATAGAAGTTGTATTTGGCTATTGGTGGCCGCCGAGAAGTTATTTAATGTAAATATGTTGTACATACATATATTTATCATTATTTCACAGGCAGAAAATAAAAGCTTCCCCAACGAAGTATCTCACAGGCAGAAAATAAAAGCTTCTACAACGAAGCGTAGTAAAAAATACATATATTTATCATTATTTCACAAGCTGAAAATAAAAGCTTCTTCAACGAAGCGTAGTGGAAACCAAACTTGACTGTTTTCCGATCGCTAAGGTCTAAATCTAGTTTATTAGGGTTCGCAAGAGCTGTGTTAATCAACCATTTCGTATTGTAAGAATTCGCGACGATAACCCACTAGGTAGTTGCTGACAACACACAAAATAAACTCCTTCACCTGTGATTTATCTTAGTCCTACGTTAACACTTAACATAGGATTTAATGATCAGGGTTCTAATGGTCTTAAGCAGTGGGTTTTGGCGGGCCCGGGTCATCTCTTTGCCAACACTTCAGTGAAGCTCAGGCTGCCGATGGACCACGTGTTCTCCCTCAATAAAGTTGAAACGTGTCGTACGCGTACTATTACATCTCAGTCTACTTAACGCCAAGCCAAAGGCCAAAGCTGGTAGTTCGCACCAGTCCCGAACAGGCTGGCGTCCCTTAGCCGGCGAAAAGTAAATCATTCAAAAAAGGGACGCAACCATTGCACCGTAGCATAACAGGTACGCTCGTCGAGCACGAAGATACAAACGTGAACATACACATAAATGTACTGTGGTGAGCCTAACAACAAAATAGCGTCAGCGGCCTATTTGCCTGTATAGGTGCGACAGCGATGGGGACAAATGAGTGAAGGTTTCATATTGGGATTACTAGGGAACTGTAAGTGAGTCCTAAGGATTGAGTTTAGCGTTGTATATTATTCGCATTGAGATAAAACGTTCTAGCTAATTGCTAGCATAGAAACTGTTGGGAACAACACCACATACGTGTATCTGAAACTGCAGAAATCGTCTTTGCCTACTCAGTACCTAAGACGGTAAGTTATAAATACAGCAATATATCATTGTTACATAGTAAGCCTATTGAAAAAGCTGGCAGACAAACAAGGTTAAGAACGCTTGATACAGGGAATTAAAATTTTTCTGCATTGCGCAATATTGTAAACTATCTAGCGCTAACAGAAATTGGATACACGCTTTTTATTTTTTACTTATGGGTTTATATATGTTATATATATGTATATAGGTTAGTGTGTTTAACTACAGTTTGCCGTCTATTTTCAGGTGAAAATGTCACGCCATATGCTGCAATACTGTGTTAACTGAGGCTAGTAAGTTGAATCTAGCACATGAAAGAAGATCCTACAAGAACGCTGGATATCTTGATGTTGTTTGTTTATAAAGAATCTGCAGGAAAATTTTTTTTGGCTTCTATTAATAGAAAAAAGAAAAAGTATGGATAGCAGCAAATTAGTTTTTCCTACTAATACATTATACGTAAAAGCTATATTTTTTTAATGGTTTAAAGAGCAAAATCAACGCTCTGACTAAACATATGTACATACATCATCAAATCATACACACACACACACACACACACACACACACACGAAACCAGCATAGTGTCTGATGTTTTTGAAAATCAGCAAACAAGACGGACCCATCCGCTAGAAAATGAAAAAAAAACCATATATATATATATATATGAAGAAAAACAACTCGCCTCAATGTTATACAAAATTGTCCGTTTATTACGTTTCAACATTTGTGAAGAGACAGTATGTCATGCATAAAACATACTGTAACGCGAAGGCACGTTGCAGCCCTCGCTGTTTTTGATTTTCTTTACGTTTTTCTTGTTGACCATGACTCTGTTCTGTCTGCAATAGTGCTAGTACTATCCAATAATGCAATGTGTTACCATTCACCCATATTTTGGTTATATTGTTGTTGTACAGCTGACCGTCCAGCAAAGTGTACCCATTAGCTTATCATGCAATTAAACGGTCTATAGCACTCTGTGTGATGGTTTCGCTTTCTTCCAACACTCCATTATAAAATACTGGCCTGCTTCATATTAATATAACGCAGATATTTTAACATGTGCATGTGGTCCCGTTCCAGGAGACGTACACAAACATCGCTTCGTCTCATTGACGGGCGATGCCCACATGTTGCTGAAATTATCACAACGTCAGTTTTACCAAGAACACCTTCATAGGACAACTTGCGATTCATGTATAAAGAGAAACCGCAATTAAGCCTTGCAATGCAAGTTGGCTTTTCACCATACACTTAGTTCATATCTAGTGCATAAAATCCTGGTTTCTATCTAATGTGGCCTCTGTTTTCTTGCTGCTGAGTTGAAATTTGTTTACCGATCATGAAGCTAATCACCGAGGTCCAAATCTCGAGATTAGTTCGAAACACTGCCAATAAACAAGCAGTTTAACTAACCTGTAGCTAATGGCAAACGTGGAACGCTACTATTCAGGCTTAGTAACTCAATCGTATACGGGTTAGATCGCTGTATCTGTAAGGAATTTTTTTCAGTATATTTCCGTTGCCCCAGCAAGGTTTGTTTACGCTTTAAGCAGTTATGTATATTAACTGCTGCTGCTGCTGCTGCTGTTGTCGTGATCATCGTTAGGTGGTGCTGAAGATAATGTTAATAAAAACGTAGTGTTAGTTTGTTGTGCTTGATTTCTTTACTTTGCAAGCATCTGCCGGAGTACGTAGTGCAGAATACCGCCGTTCTTGAAATAAGCTAGCTCGACCTCAGTGAAGAAGCAAAGGGTAGCCTCGAACGAAATTCCCGTACTCACCTTCACCTGAACAATCTGAAAACGGACGTTAAAATCAACCATTATGCTATTTAAATATGGAGTGCTGCAATGCAGTTTGATCGTTCACATGGCACCGATGAACTATTGTAGAGAGAATATGTTAAAAAAAAACGTAAAAACGAAATTAATATTTAAATTACTGTAACAACGACATTACGTATTAAAATGAAAATATAAGCTAAGCTCAAGAACATCGACGTTTCTTGTGACAACGAAACCTTGACGGCACTAAAAGTGCGCGCCAACTTCGATCAAAAAGTAAAACGACACTTTTCATAATGGGCTATAATCGATTATAAAAACGTAAGATTTTGCCGTATGGTGCCGTCAACTGCGGGGTTGGGTCGATGAATAAACATTGCTTCTCAGAATGTAAATAGTACCAGTAAAGCAATAACGTGAAGGTTAGCTTCCTTAAAATAGAACTATAATAGTGGATGTCTGGTAGGTATTTTTTTCTACTGAATAGAAAAACTTCAACTGACTCAGAATCTGTCAGGTAGAGCAAGCTAATGTTGTATGCTCAGATCTCTTCGAACGAACACTCACAGTGTTCGGCAAGGAACACTGCCGCTACCGATGGTAAACCTCACGCTCGAATAAGACCTCAGACCGAGCTATTTTACTATACGACCTTGCCAACTAACTTTCAGAAGGTGGAAATTAGGTAGATTATATATATATATATGTATTCGTGCTTCGCGCATGTTACATGATAAATTTTGGAGCTCAACAACGGTTACCTTATTTAATTTCGTACTGTGGCCGTTAAAAACACTGCAACTATGGAATTTAGCATATAATAAAAGTTCGATCCACTGGTTCGAAATTATTTACAGAATAATATGATTCGTTGAGCAAGGCTTGGACAATGTTTTTCCTGTGGGGCGTACGAGACTATTCTGTTTGGGAAGAACAGATGCGCCAACAGTTAGTCTTTTACGACTCAAATCCGTTATAAAATGTATATTATCTAAAAAGGATACAACCTTTATTGCAATTCATAATCTTTAGGCTTAGTTAATAACATTTAGCGCTTAACAGAAATAAGCTGAGATATGTATGTATATATTTTCATTTAAATTAGGTTGTTATAGGATAAAGAGTAGGAATCATTGCTGGGCTTCTACATTACGTAAGTGCAAAATAATCACCAGCATCTTACAGGTGATTCTCTATGTAAACAGTTAGCTCGTTTTTTTATGTCAATGAACATTTTACGCACCTGTCTTGGGGCGTGTAACGCCTCCGGGGTCAGATCAATCGAGAACTGCTCTTTTCCAGTAAGAGCCAGGCTTTCTGCGTTCTGTCCTTGAAGGAACTGCAACGGCACGATGCCCATTCCGATTAGGTTTGACCTATGAATTCGTTCGTAACTTTCCGCAATCACCGCCCGAACTCCTAATAGGTATGGACCCTTTGCGGCCCAATCTCGTGAAGATCCTGTTTAGTCAAAGGAGAATATACATAGTATGTAGGACTACGGGCAACTATTTTCACATAAAAAAAAAAAAACAACAAAATAGCTATTTCTTGTAAACGTCAGACACCTAAACAAATATTGATAATTTCTGCTAGAGGAGCTTGCTAGCCCGGTGGCTCGGTTAGGGCAAGGATTTCGACCATCTGGCTCTATTATAATCCTTCCCTGACATTTAGGGCTGAACTTACCAGATCCGTATTCTTTGCCTGCCAGAATGATCAGCTGATCCCCGCTTTGTGCGTAACGTGAAGCGGCATCGAAGATATCAAGCTCTTCGCCCGACGGGATGTGCACAGTGCGAGGACCTGGTTTTGCAACAAATTTATTGACAAGGCGGATATTAGCGAACGTGCCACGCGACATGACGTCATCATTACCGCGGCGTGAACCATACGAGTTGAACTCACGCGGTGCGAGGCCTCTGCTTGCAAGGTACCTGTAATTTGCAGTGAAAGATTGGACACGTTCATTGAACAAAGGTCATGCGAAGGAAGGATCATCGATAATTTTATATTTTGCACCGATTCCCAACATCAAAACGAAGTTCATTAGGTGAGTTTTATTGAAGCACAGAAACGACAGGGATTGCAGCTCCAGAGTTTATTAACTGTTTAGAAATTGTGTGAAGAACTACGTAAGAACTACACAATTGTGTTCTTGCTGAAAGCAAGTTTTACGTAAATGTGCGCTTTACTTTTTTAAAAACGCTTGAAGAGTCCGAGGTATTTTCTGCCTAACCCCGTATAAGGAATTACTTAGAGAATTTAAAGTAGAGACAAAATAAGCTTTTACAGATGAAAATTATTTGCTGTAGTTGGTTAGAACCGTTTACATCAAAGAGTTTGTTTATCTATTTAAATGGAAATGTAATAAGTCGACTAAAACTTATCGATAATTCGTTGTGGTTACCTGGCAGCTGGACTATTGCGCGAGATGGATCCAGCCGGCGATATATGGTCCGTGGTAACGGAGTCGCCGAGGTTGGCGAGCACATATGCATTCTCAATGCTGCGAATTGGCGCCAAATCGCTAGCCATTGCGTCGAAAAATGGAGGCCGCTTAATATAAGTCGATCGTTCATCCCATGGATAGAGTAGATCTTCAGAAGCTGTCAATGCTTGCCACTGTGCAGAGCCGTTCTGAATTTTGGCGTATACCTCATTGAACATGGTGGGAATGACATACTTCTGTTCAACGTCATGGATTTCACTTCGAGAGGGCCAAATGTCCCGGAGGTAAACATTCTGGCCATCAAGGCTCTTACCAATCGGATCCGTTTCAAAATCAATACTAACGGTACCAGCCAGGGCATACGCTACAACTAATAGCGGTGAAGCCAGGTAGTTAGCCCGGGTAAACGGGTGTACACGCCCTTCAAAGTTTCGATTACCTGAAAGTATGCCACAAGCTACCAAATCGCCTTTCTCAATCGCTTCGGTGACTGTCTCGGGCAGCGGGCCAGAGTTACCGATACAGGTCATGCAGCCGTAACCAACAATATTGAAGCCGAGCTTTTCTAGATAAGGAGTTACTCCGGATTCGCGCAGGTAGTAGGTGACAACACCAGATCCAGGCGAAAGTGACGTTTTAATGTAAGGCTTGACAGTTAGACCCTTCTCTACGGCCTTTTTTGCTAGAAGACCCGCCCCGAGCATGACCGACGGGTTGGATGTGTTCGTACAAGAAGTAATGGCTGCGAGTACGACAGATCCATGGTTCAGCGTGTACTCCTTCCCCTCATAAACGAAAGACACAGTAATCCTCATCTTGTCTGAAGCGATTCCATATCCCTTAAAGCTGACTTTGTTTGAAAGGCACTCCTCAAAGTCCTGCTTCATAACCGATACTGCCACACGATCCTGGGGCCGTTTCGGCCCACTGAGCGAAGGTACTACTGTGCTGAGGTCCAATTCGACAACCTGGGAAAACATGGGGTCCCGACCCTTGACATAATCACGAAACATGTCTTGAGCGCGGAGGTACTCCTGAATTCGGCTAACGCTTTCTCCATCTCGGCCTGTTTGCTTAAGATATTCGATCGTTTTTTCGTCGACCGGAAAGAAACCTACCGTTGCACCGTATTCCGGACACATATTAGCAACAGTGGCGCGATCAGCCAATGACAGTTGCGAGACTCCGGGTCCAAAGAACTCAACAAATTTTCCCACCACGCCAATTTGTCGCAGATGTTTCGTAATCGTAAGTACGAGGTCAGTCGATGTAGCCAGAGGTGAGAGCTGACCAATGAGCTTGTATCCAACTACTTTAGGCAGTACCATAGAGACGGCCTGACCAAGCATAACGGCTTCGGCTTCGATTCCACCAACCCCCCAACCAACAACGCCTAAGCCGTTTACCATCGTCGTATGCGAATCAGCACCAACCAACGAATCCGGATAGAGAACTCCAGCCTCACTAGCAAACACAACACGGGCGAGGTACTCAAGGTTAACCTGGTGCACGATACCAGAACCTGGTGGAATGATTTGCAGGTTGTGGAGAGCCTTCGAACCCCACTTAAGAAAGCTGAAGCGTTCGGCGTTCCGCTCGAATTCCATGTCCATGTTTTTCTGTAGAGACTCTGTTATGACGAAGTAGAAAAGTAATAAACAAGACAGCATAAAAGTAACAATCAAAGCGCTTCTTAGTTTCAGCACAATACTTTAGTTTATACATTAGTAAAATACAATGTCGTGTTCAGCTTTGTACGCTTTTCCCATTTTGACGTTCTTTCTTGCAGCACGAGATTTTCTTCTACAAATTGTAGAAACATAAGTATGATAGGCGTTCCCACTCAGCACTGGGGAGCAATAATAATAATGTTTACCTGGTGCGTTAGAGAAATCGACTTGCACTGAGTGGTCGATAACGAGATCGGTCGGGCACATTGGATTAATCATCTGAGGATCACCGCCCAAACGCTTGACTGCGTCACGCATCGCCGCGAAATCGACTACGGCAGGTACACCGGTGAAATCCTTGTCATCGTACAGACCATACAGTGTTTATGTTAATTCGGGGTTCGGTACTGAGGTCTTTCATTATGAAGTAAACGTCGAAAAACGAATTATCGTGAATTGAGATTATTATAAACGCATGCCTTATCAATTCAAGTATTCACTCTGCTCTAAAAAAATCGCTTGGTCACTCTGGTTATGAAAAGCGGTAATCTCCTGTATTTTCCCTCAGTTTATCTAGCTCTCGCAATTTGATTGACTGCATCAGTCACCAAATGCCGCGGTTCATCACACTTAATATTTAGCCTTTAGATATTTTTGAAGAAGCAGATGGGTTGCTTCAGATTTTGCTCACAAGTCAACATCATTCTGTTGGACTAGCAACAAGGATCCAATAAAATACCTGAAGTAAAACTCTTGCTGGTTTGAAAGCGATTTCGACTCCATCTTCTTGTCTGGATTTCCAGTCAAGAAGGGCCTCGACGTCGCTCTCCTTCACGTGGAAGTTGTCGCAGTTTCGAACCGCACTTTCAAGTAGGACACGTACGGAAAATGGTAAGTTTGTATACCTAAAAACATTGGTAAAGCATAAATTGTTAGCAAACGTTATCTAGCAGCTACCTTAGTTACAAACAGCGAGTCAATTAATTACTAAGTTAGTCACAAATGAAACTAACGAACGTATCGTAAATATTGCCTTGCATAACACCTAATTAGAGGTGTGCATGTGAAATCGCGGTAGGTTTTTTTATCATCCCAATGGAGGCCCTTAAAGAGTAGGAGGTTAAGACTGACCACTTGCTCACTCCCTATGTTTTTTGTATTATCTAATAGTCTATTGTCGCAGCAAGAAAAGAACATGCCTTAATGCATGATGGTGAGCTTCTCTCAGTGCTATACAACAAATCAGTAGAAAAGCGATAGTCTTGTTAGAAAGGGTTGTTAAACTTTTGGGCGTGTCTGCAAGCGTAGAAATAAAAGGTCCTTGCTTAACGTAGGCGACAATTTATTATTTTTACAGCAGTGCCATGTAATTGCATTAATACAACTATTTCTATTTCAAGTCTATAGGCAACATGGACCGTCGATATTGCACTTAGGACAAAAATAGCCTGACCGGCGATTTGCTTTTTTGAGTGGATTGAAGTGTTGTATACGTGTTCCTTTGTTTTACGTTATGTTGTCTCAGTGAACCTAAGTTTAGCCTTCACTCTCTGTCTGTATATCTCGCAGGTCAGAATCGGTAGCGATGTGTCATTATAGACACAATAGTTAATTAGCTGGTGGTCACGCTAAAGTTCAGTCGATCACTGGTCGTTGTCAATCGCACAAATACTTCGCTATTATTGTCGGTCATAGCCGAAGATTTCGCTAGTGGGTAACAGCCAATGCATGAATCTAAATCTGGTCCTCGATAGCTTAAGTCGACCCATGAATAAGGCATCGATGTGTCGAGGGGGTTACATCTTCCTGAGCAAGTAGTAAGTACACTTTGTCGCGGTTCGAATACGTTCATGGGACTCGTACGTCTGGTTATTTCTACAATTAAATCTGACTAGGAGATTGATTCGAATTGATTTTGTCTCGTTCATGCAAAACGACAGCCAACTAGAGCAAGCTATGCAGATAAGAGTGAGCTCACTTTTTGATCGGAACGGTCTTGTCTGCAATAGAAACAAAAACACATGTATTTTATTTAGTCAGCAATTTCAGATCCGTGGCACTTAATTATTAAGCAAAGCCTACGCCCTGGTACATTTACGTTTATAATAGAAACGCTGTCTTAAGCTCGAGTCTTGAAGACATACCAGGAAAAATAGCGACAGATGATTTGCTTATGTATATATATATATATATATATATATATATATATCTACGTTTAGCAACGCATCCGGCTTGTCCAGCCGTCATATTATCCCATAGAATGACACAAATAATCATAGAGCTGAGTAAATATTTCGAGCTCTACGTCCGGTACTGCCTACGCCGAGCATTGCTTTAAACCGCTGGCTTTCCCAGTACGAAATGAGGGATATCCGTGCCCAGTTTCGCCCACTCGTGTCTCCAACTTTAGCAGGCAAACGCGTGCTGTACCGAAACAACAAAGCTAATGACAATGTTATCGTGAAGCCAATATATTTCCTATTGCCGACGGCACTAAATCTACGTGGTCTATTGCATTATACCGGGTATGTGGACCATTTCGTTTGTCGGTATCTTTCAGATTCGATATCAATTTGTGGTCTATTTTATTAGTGTGTTCAAGCTAAATTCGAGCTGAGCACTGGTTTGGTTAAACGGCCATATGCTGGTCGAACTGGTTCTCTAATTGACTTCGACTTGCCGACTGTTCTTGTTAGCTGCCCGCCCCCTTTTGCTTCGATCGATGACCCCACTAATCCTAGGGGGGCTTTTAGGGCGCACGCAGGCTACGAGGATGCAACTTCGCGGCATCCAGAAACCTAAGACTGTATGCCGACGTGAAGCTAGTGATTTGGGATCAGAAAATGGTAGTATTTACTTAGCACGAAATACCGTAAACCGGCGAGCGATTTAATGATTATTATACATGTGTTGTTGATTGCTCCATTTGTAAGTAAACTCAGTAAGGCTAACGACAGCTGTATAGTTCTTCTACACTCTATGTCATCTGTTAAGTTAACGGCTAGCGAAAAGGAATATTCCAGCGGTAACTTCACTCCTCTACTTGAGCAAAGTCATTTTTTTGTTTCGCCTCTGCGAGCGAAACCATGACAGTGCAGAACAGCGGCAGTTGTTTATACTGCAGGTCGGACCAGCTGAGTTGGCAGTATAAAAAAGGACCGGCATCCCCATTACGTGATGGAAGATCTCATCCGACTCGACATGGCTGGGACTACTGGCTGAGCTTATTCGGCAGGCCTCCTGGATTATCTTTCTGCTATTTACTATTACTAAACTAAAAACTAAATATTACTGTAATTAACGGCGTTATCACTACGAATGGCCCTAGGATACAATCCGGTTGAAAGACACCGATCCGCGCATTGCGCTTTGTACTGCGCTGTAAGTGTGTGTGCGAGGTATCGGGTATTATTAGGAACAATTACTAAGGCGTAAAACTTGAAGATAAATTGGAAACAAGGAGTGATTTCAACCCACGATACTGTGTAGTCAATGTAAAACCACGTATAAATACAATTGCATAGAGAGCCTATCGCATGTACATTTATGTGGAACAGGTTTATATAGCACAAATTAGCACCTACCGGGCATCACCGAGCTTCGGAAGACTGTAGTACTGATACTGCTTTCCGTTTATTTCAATGTTGGATAGGCAATGCGCGAACGGATTCAAGGTATCCTCAATCGACGACATCCTTCTTGGTTTGCCTTCACTGACGTTCGTTACAATAGGCTGATCAGACTGCGAAAAATTCACACCAGCGTTCACTTATCCTATGCAAGAAGCGAACAGTTGTGAACACCTTATTTTCTACCCTATTTACCCTTAATTGCAAGACAAATCCAAAGTACTGAATTCTACAGTGGCTTACTCTCCGTTGGTGACAAGCCTCTAGCCCAGTCTCTAATAGCACCTTTACACTAGGGGGCACACCGCTAGCTGTTGTGCGTCCTCTAAATCGAACGTACCCAGCCGCACGTTCAGGCTTTATCGTGTACCTGTGATTGTAGTTGTTTTTAATTTTTGTCGAGCTACCACCATACAAACGAACAGGGAAACAGGTTTAAAGACAGCCTGCTTGGCCCGAACAAACCGCTAACCACCCTCAACGAGATCGATAACTTAGTTCTGTTTTGCCGCTATGAGTTACGACAGCTAGTGGCTCTCTCCAATGAGTGGACGCGACAGATCGCAGGCGGCACGTACGCCAGCTAGCACCCGAACCAGTAGCAGGCTCCCTGTTAACGCCGTGGCAACACCGAACTTCTCGCCAGGTGGCCACACAAATGACGTATGAGTTGATGTGCTGTGACTACTGCGGGCAAAGCTGTCGTTCAGCGGCCGTTTCAGCAGCCATCGATTCTATCCCTGCTGTGTTTGGAACCAACGTGGCAAGGCTGTCGGTGTTGGTTTGTCGCTACACTTAGCACATAACTGACGCTGCTTCTTTCACCGCCGGCAATGTTTTTACTTCTGCTCCCTCAATTGCTCGCCGGCTACACCGGCGCGATATCTATTGCTAGTGCTTGGTCAATGTCATTAGACCACCATGGCAAGTCGCTCTTCCCTTGTCAGCCGCTGCATCGCCCGGCCGCTAGCAGAGCAGGGGCGGCGAATGAGTATTGCGAACGACGGTCAACGCTGGTGTCGTCGTGGGCCTGAGGGCACGACGACACTGCTGATGGTTGTTCGATACGAAACAACGCGATTGTACGCGACATACGATATAGTACGATGGCAACAACAGCAATACCAATAGTGAAGCCAAACATTATAATACAGACGTCTGATCGGTGACAGATGGCTTGATAGCCTTTAGCGCACCGTATGATGAGGAGAGGTTACGCGGAACGACCATAGGAAGAGCCTGAGTGAGCTACATGCCCTCCTGGCGGCCGCCGTCGCTGCTGGTCAGCTTCGTCGAGCTCCATGACTAAATGCAGAAGCGACATCCCGAGAAAAACCAGATTGAGCGAGGACAGTGTGATAGAACGTTCACTGGTAGAATTTCTTCATTTAGCACTCGCAGAGGCCAGCAGACGCCGAAAGATTGAGCTCAGTTACTTCTACGTCGTATTGTATATACGGCATAAGCGCGCGACTTGATTAACAAATCCCAGAAGTAGAGTAGGTAGAAAGAAGCCAAACGCTGCCAACAAAAAGTTATCGGAAAAACCGTAACGATGATCGGATAAAAATGAGAGTTTGCAGACAATGACCTATTTAGAGGCTACCATTTCGCAACATAACAGTTATACGAACAGTTTATACCTATGTATTAAACAAAGATTTAGACGGACTTTGGAAGCAATCAATGGACACACAGGAGACTACTCAAAGAAAGAAATTAGCGAGAATATGACATTGCGGCAACCGTTGTTCTTGGCGTGGTGTCGACTACAACAGCCAGGGGACTTAGCTAAGCCTCGGCGACAAACATGACCTGGAATAAGAAGATGGTAAATGATATTAGCTGGCCATAAACAACGAAAAAAGGGCGACCGTGACGCAACGGCTGATACAGTTAGATAGCAAAAGTGAGTAGCGGCACGTACGTATTGCGTTAAGGAGTCCACCGCTAGTGAAACCGGGCTGAGCAAATGAGAAAGAGAAGTTCTGGTTGAATGAAACATGGCGCCGTTGTGCACATGCCTCCCTAATTAGACTACGGTAACAGACTATCTGGAAGGCGCTCTGACGGTTGCGAAAGGATACAAGTAGCTAACTCGGCAAGTGTAGCTGAAGAATCGAACTGGAGGCAACTATTTTGTCTTGTTCGATAGACGCATTGCTGACGTAATCTCAAATTTAACTCATACATGAACGCGAAACCAAATGGAGTGTATATCTACTGGTAAAACTCATCCAAAAAATGGCAATCTGCGTTTGAGTTTTGTAGTAAGGTGACCGTGTATTTAAATCAAATAGAATTCTTTCTTTCTTTTTTTCTAATAGTGAGATCTAGTGAATTAGAATGCATATGTTTACGGAATATCCTTGTTAAACCAAACATATATTTGAGGAGATATTTTTCTCATGGAATTTTGTTATAGACGTTTATAAAAAAAAAAAAAAAGTCTATGATGTCTATGTCGTAGCGATCAACATCCACTCGACACGCTTTACGAAACCTGTCGCCAATTTGAGTCGCTCTATGTACTTCTTATCTGTATCAAATTAATCAAATTATCAAAGAAGAGGTAATGAAAGGCGAGTATTTTGTCCTCTACCTTCCATATTTAAAGGTCAATTTTCTTAAGTTAAATCTTATGGAGGAGGCTGTAAGTCCGTGTTCGAATTATGAACAGAAAATTAGCTATTTTTCAATGTGTACACGTCGGATGAGTTACGATTGAGATTACAAACTTCCTTGGTTGTTAGCAACCTACAGTTTACGTTCCTCTCATTCGTTTCCGAAAAACCCGAAATGATTATTTGGAACCCAAGCAGAAGACTGTACGTATTGACGCTTACCGTAGAAATATTGGATTTGCTCGTTGCACACAAAACCTTAAGATTCCAGCTAGTCTAATCTCACAAGCGAATTACCACCATCCATTTCTGATTCACTGGACGAATGCCATCTCTTCGAGCTGGGATTCGATTAACTTTTCATGTGCTTCAAATCATGTGCTAAACGCAACGTCTGCGGGATCATGGCTGCCACAGTGGACAAACAGGGCCACTTATCTAAATTTCTGGGCTTCACAGGTTCAGGAAAAGCGTAGTTAAACAGAGACTATTCATCAAATCAGAAAAGGTCAAGGCAAAAGTCTTATTTAAAAAAAAAGAGTACTTGTAACAATCCTCGTGAAATTAGAGCAAATTTTCATAACTAAACACGACAGATAGCATAATGTAAAAACACTGAAATTAAAACAAATTTTCGTAACTAAAGACGACAAATAGTATAATGTAAAAACACACGATAAATTAACGTGTATGAATTTATTATGGAACAGCAGAATTCATATGTCTATTTCCAAGACCATTACGAATAAACGCATCTTGATTAATCTCCCATGTCGCCTTCGCTTAAAGCAGCACTTACGACAGCTGAAATCTGATATAGAAATATATTATGTAACATATCGGTATTAATCATCTCACTTCCCTGCCAGGACTGTTTTTAAGCGCCAGCATCTCCTGGGACCCCTTCGGTGTGCTCCATGAGCCCCATAACCTCATCGTCGTTGTGAAAGTCAACCTTTGTCATATCAATCTTAAATACCTGCTGGATTTGGTCAACGGCTTCAAGTTCGTAGTCTCGTTCCGGATGAATTAAGTTAACAGCTGTTCCCGGTCTTCCGAACCGGCCCGATCGGCCAACTCGATGATAGTACGTCTCTAGATCGATGTTTTTATCACGGAATAGGGGCAAATCAAAATTGATGACCAGAGAAACCTGAATAATGTCAATTCCCCTGGAGCAGACGTTGGTTGTCACCATGACTTTTTGGTGGCCGCGCCGAAAGCCGTCGATTGCCGCCAATCTTTGCGCGGTTTCCAGATCGCCGTGCAACTGTGCCACATTCTGGCCTAGCTGCACCATTGTTTCTGTTATACAGTTCGCTATGCTGCGTGATCGACAGAACACCACGCATTGGCCAATGCTGAGGCACTGATACAGGTTAGAAATTGCCTCGAGCTTCTCTTCGTCACTTCGGGTTTCCATGTAGAAATGGCGTATATTCGACAGTGCGAGCTGGTCGTGTCGCAAGGTGAGCTTGACGAATGGCGTACCAATAATGGCATCTGCAAGCTCCATTACTTCGTCGGAAAACGTCGCCGAAAACAAAAGCATTTGGCATCCTCCCGTGAGATTTAACTGTCGATGTATGTTGATCACGCTTCCGTAATGACCACTCTCGGCTAACATGATGTCCGCTTCGTCCAGAATAAACACACGAATCTTCTTCATATCGAACAGTCGGTATCGTAGGGTCCAGTCGAGCAGTTTACCAGGCGTGCCGATTACAACATGCTCAGTAACTTTCTCTTCTCGGCTCAAAACTTGGCCACGGACAGCATGCCGGATTAGCACGTGGGGCGTATGAATAAGCATGCGTTTACATGCCTGAGCAATTTGTTCTGCCAGTTCAAGCGTGGGCAGTATCACGAGAATCTGTGGCCACCGATCCTCTGGCCGAACCCGGGTCAAGGCAGCGAGCAGGAACGCCGCTGTCTTTCCCGTACCTGATTGCGCTTGCGCCATCATATTCACTGGCGGATCCTCAAAGAGTAGAGGTAGGGCAGCCTCCTGAATTCGAGACGGCTTCGCAAAACCCATTCTGCAGATGGCGCGATACAAATTCGTATTGAGGCCAAGCTGGGTAAAATCGGTCACTGCGTGTAACGACGACTGTACGTCAGCAACTTGCCTGTTTGATCGGAACTGTTCTACAGAATACGTACCCTGATGAAGTGAACCCATCTTGAGCAAACGGTGATCGGCCATAGTGGCTGCTCACGGCACCGGATACTTTCTTTAAATGGTAGCTTCGCCGATCTTCACAATCACCATATCACGCACAGACCGATAACCAGGTCATTCTAATGAGGTACTCCGTAGTCACAACAACAAGCGCAAAAAGCATTTTACGAACAGTAAGCGTAAGTCTCGAGAAACGCGTTCCAGTTGTCATACATTTCGAAACCAGAGTTTGGCCGGAAGTTTACAATAGCTTGAAAGCGTTGTCGCATTCAAATACCGTTCGATGGTTACGACGGCCCAATTTATGAGTCTATGTTCGAATTTTTTTCGCCAATTTGTAAACAGTCGCAGTGCCAGTATTATTAAGCAAATTAATTCTAACGCGTGCTGAGCTGTCTGATATACTCCTCTCATATCAACGTTCATCGATTGTTTTCAACGATCAACCTGAAGTTATCGCGCGCAACCCAAAACTCTAAGGCATCATAACTTTTAATCGAGTTTATTCGCGCTGAACGTTCGGTTGATTTAACAATCGCACAACCTAATAGCGCCTTTCTTAACGTCTTTATCTCCAGCCAACGCGGCTGGTATAGTTTCGCGGATATAGTTTCGACCTTCGATTGTTCGGGACCGTGTAACTTACAGAGCTGACAATTCGTCGACTATTAAGTTAAGCGCCGGGCTGGCTTGAAGAGGAGACGGTACAGTTAATTTATTTATTACAGACACTTCGCATAATTATGCGATACGTAGAAGTAGGTGATAAAAGAAAAATGGAGATTAGTGGTAAGCAAGTTGTCTTGCAAGGGACAAGCCCAGTCGCCGAGGCTGAGCCTCTCCCAAAACTTGCTTTTACTAATTTTCGGTTAAAACGTAAAGATATTTATCAAAATTCCTATAAAAATAGCAAAATCTAGCCTAACTTTTAGTTTGGTAACAAAGTGAATTTTGGTGAGCATCCTTAATTTTTCATTAATCCATTTCGCCTTTTCTAAACGACGAACTAATCAATGACCAAGTTTTTTTATTGAAGCTTTTCGCTTTGAAGGTTACATTTGCTGATTAAGGAAATGTCGAAAATGTTTCTTTGATGGAAATAGCTTGACTGAGCTTTACCGGGACAATAAACTATTTCACTTCGGCCTTTGACTAGGTAAAGTTCATGAATTGAGATAACCGAATGCACGGTCAAACGGAAGTGTGACTGGCAGAATTGCATGTTTAAAGGATTTATAAAATGATGACTATTTTCATTAGGGAAAGTTCAATGAAACCCCATTTATAGTAGAAAATTGGCTTAAATTTCCAGGTACATTCCTGTGGTCTAATCAATGCCAGTTAGAATTACCATCCAAAGAAGGCTGGATGTATCACAAATAACGAAAGAAACAAACTGGATGTTTTTATGATTATTATATTATATAGTATTTAACAAGCTTATACAGAACAAGCATTTTTGTTATACATTGCACTGACTATCATTTATAGAGGTGATATTTTTAAGTTTTCGAAGCAACAACAGGTCATTTCGCCTGTTTCACTTTGATAGTGTAGCCTGATAAACACAAATTGCTAAGTCGGCAAATCAATTGTTCCTACATAAATAAAAAGTGTGTTTTTCACGGATATGCGTTGCACCCCGTTAAGTAACACAGGAAAGGGATATTTTTTATTGCGCTTAACGTACGTAAACCTTCGACCGGAACGAAGCATTTCATCTTTATCAGGTAGGATGTGTGGCTTAATCGAGTCCTTTGAAGCGTATCTCTTCTAGGCAAAAAGTGATATTAGAAATGAAAGTAAGTTCAATTCAATCAGCAGATTCACTGACTGAAATGCATTAGTTAACCTTGAGGATTGTTTTTGGAAAGCGGTGCCAGCGTGATCATTGTTCTCTTTACGCCTCAACGTATTTTTGTAGCATTAAGATCATAACGGTTGTGAATAAATCTATTACGATTATGTTTCGCTACTTCCTCATCCTGACCTAACAATGCCCACATAATGCAGACGCTTTTCTATTGTTTTTCCTTGCAGTGGGGTGTGGAAAGCGGTCCCATGACAGCGCAATGGTAGTGTGGTTTCCCGCTGAACTTGTGGATACGTGAGGTGGTGTACGTTGGAAACGAGCGTACACACACCTCGTTTCGTGCTTAAAGCTAACCGATTAGAGCCATGCTGAACACCAATACCGGACATAAAACTCAAACATTTCTTAGTGGTAAGGAGGGAAACGAGAAGCATCCAGCCTTCGCGTCTCACCATTTATAGGTTTTACTCAAACAACTTAAGTTGTAAATGTGTTTTGCAGCACCTTGGATGGTCCGTTAAAACCGTGCATCCATCCAGCGCACCCAGTTTTCATAACTGGTGCAGTTATTTTTGCTACGGCGGCGGTGCGTTCTCTGCGGCGCCACAATTTTAAAGCAGACGGCAAGACCATGCTTTCGCCCCTTTTCTCTCCATCACCAGATCAGCGATAGCAACGGCGAGAGGTGGCATCGAAGGGATGACAACAAGAAAGATGGCGGCGACAGTACTACGTGTGCTCATTGGGCAATAGCGCTCACTGTTTGTGCTCCAGAGGCCTCTACTTGTGTGGGAGTGTCAATGCGATGGTAATGTTGGTATGGAATGAATTGCCTACTTTTTATTTGCCTGTGCTGGCCTCCTACTGACCGCATTTGCCAGCCTCAGCAGGCGCAGGGGCAGCGAGCTTGCAGTAACAGTCATACATGGCATTAGATTGAAATCGTTGTAATATCGTGATCCTGCTGTGCTGGTTTGCTCGTCATCGGCAGCAGTGATCGGTTGCTCCCCACTCAGTTGCTTGATACTGCTCAAGCGAGTGATAGTGGCGCTTTCTGTTGCTACGAGCTCATAGCTAGTAAGCAAACTGTATCACCCTGTACGAGCTATATGTCTATCTGTCCAGTGAATGGAATAGCAGCAGCAGCACGGAGCACTCGTTTAGCGAGAGGAGGGCACAAAAATGAGGCAGCGGCTGGGACAGCCGCAGCAGTAGTCGGAGTCCCAGCAGCAGCAGCAGCAGCAGCAGCAGCAGCAGCAGCAGCAGCAGAAAAACATCGAGCTAGCAAGAGTCCTCGTAGACATCGTAACTGCCGAACCCGTCATCCTCTCATAGGCAGTAACAGCAGCTAGGCGCGACTAACAGCAGACCCTTCTGTCTCTCCTGTGCTGTGCCTACGAGCGAGAACAACCAGGCACTGCAGCTATAGGGCGGCTATGTGTAGTCCTCCTGGCGGGTTGATTGGCAGGCCGCTGTGTGCCGTATCGTCGTCTATTGTGTGTCTAGTGCGGTCCTCGAAGACGGCTGCCGGCAATACTGCAGAGAGCAATAGCTCAACAAACAAAAGAGGGCTGCAAGCGAATTATGAGTGCTGAACACTGAAGTCGTAGCGAGCAATGCTGGTGGATGGTGTTCATGTTGTTACCACAAGCGCCTCAGCAACGCCTGGTCTCGCCGGCGGCGTCGTTGGCCGACCAGCAACCGTCTAGCTGCTGGCCGTAACAAAGGCTCGTTAACAGTGTAACAACGGCGTAGGTTACGTTGCTGTCATTACTAGATAGATGTCTAGTGCAAACAAAAATATCCCATTGACTTAAACGAGACAGAAAGAACGAACGGCGACGCTTCTGCGTCTAGGTCGCTGGTGACTAGGCGTGATTGTAATCGTCGTCATCCTCGACGGCGGTGACGACGACAACAACAACAATCACAACGGCGTGAATTGCCGCGCAAAAAAACGAACCTTGCTGATTGAACGGAAACAGTAACGGCAAAATAAGAAGTTGACGAAGACAACAGAGAGTCAACGGTGAACACCAGTGCAGTAAAGTGATGGGCAATAGTGGTCCACATTGAGTTCCCGATGGAGTATCTCGAATAATATTTGCTACAGAGTAATGCGCCCTTGTCCATTTATGTTGGTGACGTATTAGTAAGGCTATGCTTAAACAAATTTAGCAAGAAACAACTAAGGGGTGGTCAAACGCTATTAATCGCCTCTACCCCCGTTCCACGTAGTTGTCGGGCTGGGTTGCAATATTCGGCCCGCGTCGTTGTGCCACTAGAAACCGTTAAACGAGCGTAAGTCGCACAAAAGTTCGTCTTAAAGGAATTCGCCGGTGCAGTTGGCACTAATTCGTGTTTTGTATCGTATTTTTCCCGGGCGTTTGTTGAGTGAACAAGCAGTTTCAGCGTCAGTAGTGAGAGGTCGGTATTTGTGGAGGGCACCTTTTCAGCTGGCATCAATATCGCGTCACGGGTTCCGAGTGTCTCCTCTGTTCTGCTGCTTTGTATATATTTTACGCTCCTTTTTACGTGCTACAACGTTGCCAATTACATTGAAGTTAATGTGGAGGAATATCAATGGCCAGTTGCGGGGTCAGAAACGTTTGGAGTACAGTGCTAGGTGATATGGTGGGTCACAGATAAAAAAAAAAATAAGGGAAGTCGCAAATAGGCAACAAGCCGGGTAACGAGTGCGTGGTAAGGAAGAAACTACTTGAGTAAAGCTTCCTGTTGGCAATCGCAATCTATTTAGGGTGCGGAAGAGAAAGTTGGCAGAATCAAGTGCACTGATGGTCGTATCCAGCTGCTGTGCGTAGTGGTGTTCTTCGATAAGGTGCACAGCCGTCGGGCTAGGTAAGTAAAAGGGGTTCAGAGCAAAGCATACTCGTAGTTACGTCATTGTCACTGAAACGTATGTGGGCTGGGCTAGAGAGAACGTTGGGGCAATGGGCGTTTTTCTATGTGTGTGTGTGCCTGTGTGCGTGCATATATGAATGGATGCGCGAGCGCATTATCAATATTTGCACGCTGCTATTATGGTTGCTCTTCTGTCTCATTTAGGCTTGATTCATTCGGCTAGGTCTTCACTGTTGTCAGAAGAAGCATTGCCCTGCCTTACAAGACCGAAACAAAACTTCTCATCTTGTGAGGCTAACTTCGAAACATGAATACATACTGATGTGTATTTATCATATACACAATGAGCCCACCGCATTTACGAGACACTGACCGACAAAGGTACCGTGAATAGATCCGGCAATTGTTCGAACTACATCTAATACACCAAATATTTTGCCACTGTCTATTGCGTTTTCTCGAGCTGCAAGTTGCACTTAGTGCATCTACTATCCACTATATAATATGATGATGACATAATAGCCTGGACAAGTTAAGCAGCAACATATGATTTTATTTGAACTGGTGGGCGCCGGTGGGGAAGTACTGGAATCGCTTTTATCCCATCGCTAGCGCTCTGATCATCTCGCCACAAAAAGTGTACCACTGGCAATTTTTGACACTTGGCATGAAACTTTACTCGAACATAAAGAGAGACGGAGTGGCCGGACAAAAAAGCCATTTGTCTTACGGTTATGGACACCGCGCCAGTGATCTGTCGCTAGCGTTGTACCACCCACCTATAGCGTCTGTTGACCAGAGCGAACGTGACAGTCGCTCAGAGATGGCAAGAATGGGAGCAACCCTCGATCAACGATCAGCACCGCCGGCTGTTTCGCCATCACCACTGTCGCCAGCGCGAATTATGAAGTCCGAGTGCTGCCAAAATTAACGGCTATCAGCGCCTACTCAAGAACAGGCGGGGAAAAAATAAAACCGAGTTAAG